TGAAGGGTGGTATGCAGTGGGGTATTGCAGGGATCAGTACTCGGTTCAATGCTTTTTAACTTGTTCATTAACTTGTTCATTAAATGCCCCTGTATAAATCAATGGTGCAACCTCATTTGGAACACTGTGTACAGTACACCATACTTCAAAAAGGATATTATAGCATTGGAAAAAGTGCAGAAAAGGGCAACTAGAATGATCAAAGGGTTGGAACACTTTCCCTATGAAGAAAGGTTAAAGTGCTTGGGGCTCTTTAGCTTGGAGAAATTATGGCTGAGGGGTGACATGATCGAGGTTTACAAGATTATGCATGGGATAGAGCAGGTAGAAAAAGAGGTACTTTCCTCCCCTTCTCACAATACAAACTCATGGGCACTCCATGAAATTGCTGAGCAGTTGGGTTAGAACAGATAAAACGAAGTACTTCACCCAAAGAGTGATTAACACATGGAATTCACTGCCACAGGAGGTGGTGGAAGCTACAAGCATGGACAGCTTCAAGAGGAAATTTGATAAACATATGGAGCAGAAATCCATCAGTGGCTATTAGCCACAAGGTACAGCTAGGAACTCTTGGGCTGGGGGAAGTGATGCTCTGTATTCTCGGTGCTTGACAATAGTGGGAGGGCTTCTGGAGTTCTGGCCCCACTGGTGCACCTCCTGATGGCACCTGGTATTTTTGGCCACTGTGTGACAGAGTGTTGGACTGGGTGGGCCACTGGCCTGATCCAACATTGGCTTCTCTTACGTTCTTATGAAATTGGATTGCAAGCCCCATCGAGGAGGACTCTGAAGCAGTGGCATAGAAATATCCTGAATAACTGACTAAATAAATAAATAAATTTGGAGGCGGTGGTTGAGAGATCTGATTTACCGCCCGTGGTAAAAGCTGAAGGGAAACTAAGAGCTTCACTTCAATGCGAGAGGGCTGAAGAAGCAAGCAAAACTTATAAGCATTTAGCAAAGTTATTAGAACAGGAAAATGGAAACCACTGAAGTCCTATACTTGCACTGTTTTGCATAATGTAGTTCTTTCAATCATGGAGGGGGGGGGGCTGAGATTCTCAGGAGCTCAAACCAGGCATTCTGCTTATGCAAGGAACTGTGAAATCCATGCTGGCCTAGCTATGGCTACTTTCAGCCAAACCTGAGATAACTAGAATAGCCTACTGATGTTAGAGGAACATGGATGCTACCAAGTGGGGAGGGGAGGCAGGTTGCACTGTGGTGTGTCATGGGTGGAACAAAGGTCTGAAGGAGACCACTCCTGGCTCCAAGTGAACCACAGCAACATGTCTTTTTTCCTAGGGCGATGGCATGGAACCCATCTTCCTCCCACCTAAGAAGCCTTCCTCTGACTTTAGTGGCTCTTTCATTGGAGGAAAGAGCCACTTAGGGACTGAAGCCTTCTTCTCCTTGGACCTCCTTTTCCAAAACTGTGGCTCAGCGGTAGAGCGTCTGCTTGGAATGCAGAAGGTTCCAGGTTGAATCCCTGGCATCTCCAGTTAAAAGGACCAGGCAGTAGGTGATGTGAAAGACCTCTGCCTCCCTGAGACCCTGCCTGGAGAGCCACTACCAGTCAGAGTGGACCATATTGACTTTGATGGACCAAGGGTCTGATTCAGTATAAGGCAGCTTCAGGTGTTCATGTGTACTTCTCAACTCCAAGGTCAAACAATATTCCCCAGCCCAAGTGATGCCCCTCCTCAAAACGACATATCCACAAACTTCTTTTCCTCACCTCCACTGCTCATCCCACCTTCTTCCCTTTGCTACAAATCACCTATTAAAATTAACATGTTCTTGGACATTTTCCCAACCCTTCTTTCACGCTCAGGGCATACGTGGCTCCGTTCCCTTGCCTTTTATCCTCACAACCATCCTCTGAGGTTAGGATGAGTAGACTCAAGGTCACCTAGTGAGTTTAAGGTAAAGGTAAAGGTTCCCTTTCTCGAAAGCCAGTCGAATCCGACTCTAGGGTTGCGGGGCTCATCTCCGTTTCAAAGCCGAAGAGCCAGCGCTGTCCAAAGACGTTTCCGTGGTCATGTGGCCGGCATGACTAAACACCAAGGCGCACGGAACGCTGTTCCCTTCCCACCGAAGTGGTACCTATTTCTTGCTTTCGAACTGCTAGGTTGGCAGGAGCTGGAACTAGAGACGGGAGCTCACTCTGTCATGCGGCACCCGGGTCTCGAACTGCTAAACTACCGACCTTCCACAGCCTGCAGTTCAGCGTCTTAACCACTTGAGCCACCGCAGCTCCTAGTGAGTTTAGTGGAGGTCTAAACCTGGGTGGGTGTCTCAAGTCCTGGCCAAGCACTCCAACCACTATGAGTCTAACTACACATTACCAAGTCCCTGTTTCAGGGCAGGAAGACAGAGCGGTGGAGTGGTTTAAGCCCTGTCTCCCCAGGGTTCGAATCCAAATCACTCCCGGAAGTTCTGAGCATGGAACTCCCAGAGTACATCTGCTATAAGGACCCGAGGTAGAAATGAAGACTTTGCAACATGTGAATAGGCTTTGTAATGTGTGAATACATTCTGCCCATGTGGCATCCTGTTGCATTCTCCAGCTTTAGGTCAGGCTTGCCATTCTAGTTCACAGTAGAGTCACTCTTTGCCAAATCCAAAGACCTAGCCTTAACGTTGGAAGGACAGAGACGGGGTAGGAGGTGGCGGTCTAAAATGAGGGGCTGGTGGAGAGGCAGAGAAAGTGGGAGGTGGAAACGGCCTAGAGAACTGTTGTACCCGGAGGAAGGAATCCAGAGACCCGTTCTCCATGAATTCTGTAACAATCATGACGGGGCGGCTCTTGGTGACCACGCCCTCCAGGCGGATGACATTGGGGTGCTCGAACTGTCCCATGATGCTGGCCTCGCTCAAAAATTCCCGGCGCTGCTCGTCCGTGTAGCCTGCCTTCAGGGTCTTAATAGCCACAGTGTATTCCCGTTTCCCTGGAGGCTTCAGGCGCCCAAAGCACACCTCTCCAAACTCTCCTGCCAGGGTTGAAGGATGGAGAAAGCACTATGTCAGATGGAAAGCACATGGAATACCCCAGAATGCAGGGGGGGAAACCCCAAAAAAGACTCCTTCCCCCTGATTCTCAACGATCCCTTAGAGATAGCTGAACCTCAGGGAGGTTCACTCATCTCTGACCCGGAAGAGGCACAGACACCGTGCAATGACACTGCTGCCCTGCCCAGTTATCGTTATTGCCGGAAGTACTTTCATTTACGAAGATCCACCTTATGTAAAGACCTTAGGCAACAGCCAAAAGAAGAAGACAGGCTGTGATAATGGAAGGCCTTGAAGCCTGAGCCCAATTAGGACCAGTGCCATAGGTAGTTGACTGCTAGCAACACCCCTAAAATTGAAAAAGAAATCTGGGGGGCTGGAGGATAAAGAGCTATGCCCAGTACTCAGTTCAAGTTCAGTTGAACTCTTCAGCGTGTCCGTGTCCCTTTACTGGGCCATGACAAGCATGGCCAGTTTTCCCCCAGAGATGGTTCGTCCTCATGCTCCGACATCCCATGATTAATCAATGCTTCTTGCCCACATGTTTCCAGTGGTCAAACAGCAATAGTATGTGATTGCTGCACAGGGCAGTGGCTCCCACACTGGTGAGGTTTTTCTGCTGCTGGTTCAGCTGCTAATAAAGCACAGCAGCAATGGGGATTCCACATGGCATGTTTCCCCACAGTTCCCCTGCCCCGGGCCCCTGGAAGCAGCCACCCCCTCCCCTGGGCTTTTGCAATTCTTTTTAAAAAATTAGCACTGATAAACTGTAGTAACAACGTGTATAGCAGATTCTCTGAATTCCCAGCTTTCATGCTTAAAATAAAAAGTCTTTAGCCCTCTCCACTGTATATGCCTTTTACTTCTGCAATGGAAGAACCTGGAGACTTACTTTTTTTTTTTTTTTTTAAAGAAAGCACGTTTCCCCACAGTTCCCCTGCCCCAGGCCCTTGGAAGCAGCCACCCCCTCCCCAGGGCTTTTGTAATTTTTTTAAAAATTAGCACTGTCGTATTGTCATATTGATAAACTGTAGTAACAACATGTATAGCAGATTCTCTGAATTCCCAGCTTTTGTGTTTAAAATAAGAAGTCTTTAGCTCTCTCCACTGTATATGCCTTTTACCTCTGCAATGGAAGGACCTGGAGACTTACTTTTTTTTTTTTTAATGAAAGCTGGGAAATCAGAGAACCTGTCACCTGTATTGTCACAATGATATATCAATATAACAATATGAAAGTGCTGATTTTTTTTTAAATACGAAGCTCCAGGTGACAAGGAGAAGAAACGGGAGCCATGGGGCAGGAAAAATGGCTGGCATGTAGATCGGAAACCCACACAGCAGCCCTCCAGACTTTCCTGTGCTCTTCCCCAAAACTTCAAAGCAGGTTTGACAAAGATCAGAGGAAAGCAGGGGAAACCCCAGGAGCTGCATGAATCCACCCCGGTGCTGTGGGGAAGTAGAAAAAGACCTGCTTCCCAACTAGGGTTGCCAATTTCCAGATGGGGCCTGGAGACCTCCCAGAATTACAATTGATCTCCAGACTACAGAGATCAGTTCCCCTGGAGAAAATGGCTGCTTTGGAGGGTGGTGGACTCTACGGCACTATACCTTGCCGAGGTTGCCTCCCCAAACTCCATCCCCAAATCTCCAGGAATGTCCCAATCTAGAGTTGGCAACCCTATTCCCAATAGAATTGAACCTGGGACATATAAGCTATGTAGAAATGGCCAAAATCAGAAAATGCAGCTCTTGCTAATAATTTAATGGTAGAAGATGTAAGCAGCCCTTTTCCTAGCATGCAATCCTTATCCCCTCTATGCCCATAATTTAAATGTTTGTTTATTTATTTAATTTGTATCCTAGCCTCCCTGCAAGAGGGCTCAGGGTGGGTTCCACCATAAAATTCACAGTATAACAAATCGACAGTTAAAATATCTAGCATGCAATCCTTATCCCTTCTATGCCCAAAATAAGGTCCATAATTTAAACGTTTATTTATTTAATTTGTATCCTAGCCTCCCTGCAAGAGGGCTCAGGGTGGGTTCCACCATAAAATTCACAGTATAACAAATCGACAGTTAAAATATATCTAAAAATCTATCTAAACCAGCAGTCAATATAAAGACTGGTGCCTCAACAGATCTCAGCAAGAAACAAGCTGATTCCCAGGTGGCCATGCAGATCTGAAGTCACTGGAGGGGAGGCCAATCGGGAGGTGGACGCCCGCTGCCTCAACTAAAAGCCTGGTGGAGGAGCTCTGTCTTGCAGGCCCTGCAGAACTGTAAAAGGTCCCGCAGGGCCCTGATTTCTAACAGGAGCTCATTCTACCCTCATTGAGGCAAGTCGGACTTCCCTAGGGCTGGGAACCACCCTGCTGATTACTAGATGGTAAATTCCTGCAGGGCTCATATGGGGAGAGGTGGTCCCGAAGATATGTTAGCCCTGGCTGTATAGGGCTTTAAAGGTAAGTAGCAGCACCTTGAACAGGTTCTGGTAGTCAATAGGCAGCCAGTACAGTTCCCGCAGCACCGGGTGGATATGTATCCACACAGACGACAAAGTCAACACCTGTGCAACCATGTTCTGCACCAGCTGCAGTGTCCAGAGCAGGGTCAAGGGCAGCTCCATGTAGATGGAGTTACAATAATCCGTCCTAGAAGTGACCATTGCATGGGTCACTCATTGTAGCTAGGTCACTGGAGTTAAGATCTGGGACCGGCTGCCTGATCCGCCTCAGATGGAAAAAGGCAGGCCTAGCAGTGGCAGTGACAATATATATAAAAAAAAAACCAGTTGTGAGCCCACTGTTCTCCCAGATAACTGGGACCTTAGGATGTTGACATATATATAAATAGTTGTGAGCCCACTGTTCTCCCAGATAACTGGGACCTTAGGATGTTGACATCAATAAAATCAGCATAAGGTGTTTCTCAAAAGGGCAGAACTAAAACAACCAGTAGAAAAACTTGAAAAGTCCAACAGAGGCTGCCGTCTTGCAAGACACCCACAAAACAATCATCTTTCATAAACCACTATCTGGCCAAGATCCAGATCAATGGGAGGGCCACACTTGTGTTCTGGCCCTCCAAGGAGTAGGCTGCTCCTCGAATCACAACAGGAGATGTCTGAAACAGTGCTAATCGATGCCTGAAACAGTGCCTCAAAAACAATGCTAATCGAGTACAAAGTGATGGAACGGATGACCTGGAAAGCGGTGTCTTCATTACCTGATCCAATGACCTCCTCAATCTTGACAAAAGACACGTCAATTTCCTTGGCAAATTCCCGAATAGCTTCATTGGGGTCTTCGTAGGTGGAGGGGTCAATGTAGTATTTGACCCCAAGGCCTGTGAGGCAGAAGAGAGGCTCCCAAGTCATAAGAACATAATAGAATCCATGTTGGATCAGGCCCGTGGCCCATCCAGTACAACACTCTGTGTCACACAGTGGCCAAAAACCAGGTGCCATCAGGAAGGCCACCAGTGGGGCCAGAACTCCAGAAGCCCTCCCTCAGAAAGATTACTCTGAAGGGAGCAAAGCCATTCCCCTCACTTACCCCTGGTGCTGATGTACTGCTGCAAGCGATCTGTGTATGGAGTCTCTCGCCGCTTGCTGTGGAGGATGAGAAAGACAAATCACCAAGGGAGGACCCCCCCCCCCCCAAGATATCACAGAACTGGGAAGAGATACAGGAAAGGGCAACCAAAATGACCAAGTGTTGAAGTGCCTTTGGTACAGTGGAAAACTAAAGCACTGGGGTGTTTTATTTTAGAAACAGAAATGTTGATATGGGAAGATATGATGTTTATAAAATAATGAATAGTGTGAAGAGAATGGATGGAGAGAGAAAATGTCTCCCTCTCTTTCATAATTCTAGAATTTGACTGGATTCAAATCTTTCGCAGACAGTAAAATTACAGGTCAAAATGTTAGGCCAGATCCCCGTTAGGGATGGGAACGAACCGAATTATGAACTGAAATTTGTCATGAATCGCTTCTGGTATGTGGTTCGTGCGACCAGTTCTCCCACGAACTGACCCGATGTCGACGGAGGTTCATGGGAACAGTTCGTTGGCCGGACATGCTGACATCGATGAATCAGTTGTCCAGGCAATGGGGGAGATAGACTTCTGCAGCCCTGGAAACACCAATAGTGGCCCCTCCAAAGCTTGATATGCAGCTCCGGCTGCCAACCAGAAAGCTCCCATTCTGCCTTAAACCTTTAACTTGCAGGGGTCCATTCAACACACTCATTCCCCTTTTGCACACTGGACCCTAGGATCTCCCCCCCCAAAAAAAAAGATCCAGTCTGCACACCACTTGGAGGGAAAGTAGAGGGGCATCCCAGGGACATCCGCTGCGAGTTGGATGTCTCTAGCTTGCAGGGCTTGCCAATTTGCCAGGACTTGCCAACCAGAGAGCTCCCATTCTGCTCTAAGCCGCTAACTTACAGGGGTCTGTTTGACACACTCTTTTCTCTTTCGCACACTGGACCTTATGATCTTCCCCTCCAAAAGCCAATCTGCACACAACTTGGAGGGCGGGTAGAGGGGCATCCCAGGGAGGTCCGCTGCGAGTTTGATTTCTCTAGCCCACGGGAGGGGGGGGCATTCTACCACGCCATGAACCTCGTGAGCCACAAACCAGTTCATTTAATAGGAAGGTTCGTGGAGGTTTGTGAGACTCCACAACCCCCCATTTTCCCAGTTTGTGCCCATCCCTAATCCCAGTTAGCACAATTGACTTCTTTTGAGGATATTTGCTATCTTTGGAAATAAGGATCTTTTCCTCTCACATGTAAACACAGTCTAATAGGGGATGACTAGCCCAGGCAAACGTACAACAATCTCCTCAAATCAGTTACGGTAGTTTCAAATTTGGGTGAAGACTCCAATGGTTCAACTCACTTCCCAGATACATGTACCAAATGATGTTAAAATGGCCTCTTCTTTACAAATAATGTCAAAAGACTCAACATGAAATGACTACTGAATATAATATTTTTCTTTTAGTTTTACTCTTATGTTTGTGCATCAGTTATCTAGGCTACATATAATGTATTCCAAAGCAGAGTCACGCTCTTCTAGGTCCACTGGACTACCATGCTGCCTTCCCTCCCATGGCAAAGGGTAGGCTAAAATAATTAACCAAATAAATACATTCCACAGAAGGCTCTTCCAAACCAAACTGTCTTGCACCCTCCTCTTAAAGAAGGTGCCATTCTAGCCACCTCTGGGCTAGTGGCTCAAGTGGTTAAGTCGATGAACTGCAGGCTGTGGAAGGTCAGTAGCTCAGCAGTTCGAGACCCGGGTGCCGCATGACGGAGTGAGCTCCTGTCTCTAGTTCCAGCTCCTGCCAACCTAGCAGTTCGAAAGCAAGAAATTGCAAGTAGATAAATAGGGACCACTTCGGTGGGAAGGTAACAGCATTCCGTGCGCCTTGGTGTTTAGTCATGCCGTCCACATGACCACGGAAACGTCTCCGGACAGCGCTGGCTCTTCGGCTTTGAAACGGAGATGAGCACCGCAACCCTAGAGTCGGATTCGACTGGCTTTCGAGCAAGGGGACCTTTACCTTTACTTACTACTCTTTCCACACATTCACTCAGATGCAGGCAGAGGAGTGATTGTGGAGTGGATTCCAGGAAGCCGTTCCAGAATTCATGGTCCACTCCAGAGCTGAGATGGAGCAGAACCAGATGGTTCTGCCTATTGCTTGTCCGTAGGTGAAAATAATCAAAGATCTCTACCTCTTGAAGACAATGGCAAGGATGGCAATCGCTGCAATGACCAGGAAGGCGAGACCGCCAAGAGCTGAACCCACAATCAGCGGCAGTCGGTCTTGCACCATCACGGAGCGCTCACCTGTCAAAAGTAACATACATGAAACGTACATATCGTCTACGAGAGTCGTCCCCCCCCCATTATCATCTCACGCAGTGACATCCCCTGGTCACCGTCAGGCTGTCCCACAAAACCTTTACTTCTGTAAATAAACCACATAATCGGGTGCAGCAAGTGCCAGGACTACTAACCAAAGCCTCTGGATGTGGTGAGCTGTCCAGGGTTTGAGGGCACTTAAGTCACTGGTTATGCCATGCTTTCAGAGCCAAACTACACATTCAGGGCTTTTATCCATTTTTGCTGTGGAGAAATAACTCCCTACCCCCCAGTGCTGTTTCCAAGTGGGAAAAATAGCTTGGGAGGGAAGGCAGGAGCCCTCCCTCCCCCCAACAGCAGCATTTTGAGCCCATTGTGGTTCTCCTTTATTTGTAAAAAGATATTACACACAGCTGCTGTGCAGCTGCAGTGAACTCAGACCCAACTTATTAAAAGCTTAAATGGGTAAGTTTGGTTCTCAGGCTTTGGAATTCTTCTGCCCAACCAGCCATTTCATTGACTTTGTTACATGCAGGGGTTTAAAGACTTTCTGGTCAGACCGGGACTTTGCCTGTATCCAAGCTCTGATGTCTGACCAGTTGTAGGATTATCCCCTCTCTCTGGCCTTGGGAAGTCACACTCCACCACTCTTAACACCTCCCCCCATCAGGCCTACCTTTCCAAGAAGCCAAGAATACAATCTATGTGATACTTTTCTTCAGCAGCAACCTGATTCTGCTTAGCCTGCCAGAAATTCCACTAGACCCTGGCATGATGACAGCTTCTCAAGAGCATCATTCCGAGAGCCAAACTTGTGACAGCGTCCTCGTGGCCACCTCGAGGATTCCGTCACACCTAATTTGGCCCTGAGGAAACTGCTTTCTTCTTCTTTTATTTGCTAACATTTGGCTTGATGAACTCCGAAGTTTGCAAACTGTTCTGTGTCACTGCGTTGGTCCTAATAAAAGGTTATGCGCACGGATAATGTTCCCAGCTTTTTGGATTTTTCTTTCCGGCCCACATGGCTGTAAACAACTTGTCTACTTGAACGATGGCTGAATTCAGCCAATCAAGAGAGGTACGTGACATTTAGAAGCTAATGAGTTAGCAAGAGAGCGTGAATATGGAAATGCAATGTTAGGTAATGTCTATCTAATTTGGCTTTCGATTGATGAGATATACCTCATAACATTGTAAATTCATCTCCTGAATTCAATGGCTTTCAAGGAATTTCTGCTATTTTTTCTTCCAAAAAGAGCCTGAAGCCTCACTGTGTAAGCAGGACTATGAAAGGAATCACTGCTATGGAGCTGAATTGTTTTACTGCCTCTTGCTTTTACGGCAGCCAGCTACAACCTGATACTGCTTCGGCCTGCCAGAAATGTTACCAGACCCTGGCATGATGAGATCCTCTTATCATCATTATGCCCCAAGAAATCTCCTCCCCCCCCTTTTTTTATTTTGTAACATTTGGCCTGATAAAGATTTCTGGGGAACTCAAAACTTTGCATTCTGTCGTTGGGTTGTTTCTCATAAAAGGTATTACATGGATAATATTCTTGGCAACTTTGAATTTCCTTTTCAATACGCATGGCTGTAAACAACTTGTCTGCTTCTCCAAAGCTTTCCTTTCTGCTTTCTTCCAAGCTATTACCTTCCTCACACTGGGGTTTAGGTGTACATGAATATTTCATGGAAGGGAATGCAAAAAATTAACCACTGTTAATACATGTCGTAGTCCACTGGATTATTCTCCTGGCTGACATAGGGCTTGTGAGGGAAGGAGACACTGGTGAATTGTGCCCTGTGTGTACAAGGATCTCTGTTTGTTGCAAGGACACGCATGCATGGTAATATGTGGCTATAGGCAACCATGACTGCAGTCAAGAGATGTGTTAGCCTGTGAAGAATGTGGAAGTCGATGATGCATGAGTGGTAAACAGAGGAGGCTACTAGAATTGTGTGGTGGAGTATGATGTAACGTCATGAGTAATTATCAAATTTGAGAGTTCACTTACTTCCCACCAGGGTCTGGAAATACATCTTTCCACTGTAGGGTCCATAACCCACTGCTGTCCGGGCTCGCACTTGGAAGGCATATATCTTTCCCGGGCTCAGACTGGAGATGGTGGCCATATTTGTTTCACTGGTTATTGTGAAAGAGTTGTCCTCATCTTCTGACTAAGAATCAACAATCCGCCAAAGAAATTGAGAAACATTAATTCCACTTCAACTTCAGTAGAATTCCCCACATAGACCTATCAATAGTTTTCCTTCAGGTTTGATAAGCATCCACCCTTCTGTCCAATATTCTACTGTTTGGGTTCATCAAATACCTCAATATCTCTCTATCCTGACCTCTGGAAGATTAGTGGTGATTGGGGCAAGGAAAAAAGATATGTGTAAGAGAAGGGAAGATGGCTTTAGGTAAGTTCTGCCCCTGGGGCTGAAATTTCTCACCCAATATAACACTTCTAAATAGGGTTGCCAACTGGCTTTAAGGGAAAATTTCTTGTCCCTCCACTTAGGATGGCCAACTGGTTTGGAGGGAAAAGCTCCAGATGAAAAACACATTTCCAGTCCTGTTTTCCACCTCTGGCCTCTCCTCACTTCCTCACTTCCTCACCTCCTCGCTGATGATGTGTTGAACTGTTTTCAGTTGAGGTGTACAAACAGGCATGGAGATAAATAACATCACGTGGTTTAAAAAAACCCCTTTATTAAAGAGGAAGGACATTTTTCTCCAGGCCTCCTGGCACCCCTACTTCTAACAAGTACAAAACCTATAATCATTTTTCTCTCAGCCTCTTTTCTTTTCTTAAGGGTCTGCTCCTATATTAACTACAGAGTGTGACTCATGATGCCCTGGTCACATTAGCACCCTCAAGTTATCACTATGAGAGGAACTGACATTCTACACTGTCACTAACCTGGTCAGGTAGTTTGGCAGTGCTGGTGTGGGATATAAGCATGGTTTCACAACTCCCATGTGACCTCCCAGCTAATATCCCCCAAGTACAGGCTCTTATCACTTACATCCGGGGCACAGAACAACCCAAATCCCCGCAAAATATGAGGGTACAAAAATGCCCACAAAGAGTTTTTCTTCCAGAAAACACTGACCTAGGGAGCCATTTTAAGGGCTCTAGAGAAACACAGCTCCTCCTAATAACCTGGAAAACTCCACAGAGAGATGAAAGGTAGCAGGTGTAGTGGTCAAAGTGTCTGACTAGAATCTGAGAGACCCAGGTTCAAATCCCCATTCTGCTCACTGATTGACCTTGGGGCAGTCACATGCTTTCAGCCTAACATGCCTCACAGGGTTCTTGTGAGAAAATGGAGGAGAGGAGGACTACGTGCTAAGTTGCTTTAAGTCGCTATTGGGAAGGAAAGTGGGATAGAAGCAGGGCTATTTTTGGGCAGGAACGCACAGGAACGGAGTTCCGGCTGGCTCCCAAGCTGGCCACGCCCAGCAGGAACTCATTAGCATAATAGGCCACACCCAACATCAGAAACTCATTAGGATTGGCTACATTAGGGGTGTGTGGCCTAACATGCAAAGGAGTTCCTGCTACAAAAAAAGCCCTGGGTTTTGACAACAAACAAGGTAAACAGAACAACAAGCAAAAGTGTGGCTGGATAACCACACTTCTGGTAACACGGGGGCGCATCCTAATGTGCTAATGCACTGTGCTGGAAGGGGCATGGCCTAATATGCTAATGAGTTCTTGCTGTTGGGTGTGGCCTATTATGCTAATAAGTTCCTGCTGGGCTTTTTCTACAAAAAAAGCCCTGGATAGAAGTAAATAAATTCACTGCCAAATTCATGCATCTTCACAGGTAAAAGTATTTCTGCACTGGGGGGAAACGGTTGCCACCGTCTGGCTCAGCGATGCAGTGCGTGTTGGTCCAGATATGAAAAGCTCCAGATGAAAAACACATTTCCAGTCCTGTTTTCCACCTCTGGCCTCTCCTCACCTCCTTGCTGATGATGTGTTGAACTGTTTTCAGTTGAGAGCTGTACGTGACCACTAGTGGTGTGCTGTTATTGAGAAGGTATACAAGAGCTGTTTAACATTATCTAGTTGAGCTGCTGCACAGAGCCAGTTTGGTGTAGTGGTTATGAGCAGCAGACTCTAATCTGGAGAACCGGGTTTGATTCCGCACTCCTCCACATGAAGCCAGCTGGGTGCCAGCGTGGTGACCTTGAGCCAGTCACAGTTCTCTCAGAGCTGTTCTCTCAAGAGCAGTCTTCAAAAGAGCTCTCTCAGCCCCACCTACCTCACGGGGTGTCTGTTGTGGGGAGGGGGAGGGGAAGGAGATTGTAAACCACTCTGAGACTCTGAGTGAAGGGCGGGGTATAAATCCATATCCTCCTCCTCCTCTTCTTCTTCCCCATTCTTGTTTCATCCCTATTCCCCCTGGACTGACCCCTAAGCCCTCACACTCCGTTGCAAGAAAGGTCTCCCCCCTCTGCCCTTTCAGAGGTCCAGAGAGACCCAGGCCACATCCAAGTTGAGAGCCATAATAACATTTCATTTCATTTCATTTATTTGACTTCTAGCCCACTCTCCCCTGCAAGCAGGCTCAGAGCAGGTTACAACAAGACAATAAATTCATAATCCAATATCTAACATTCCAAATAGTCATTAAAACATGACAAATGTTTAAATTCACACCTCAGAGCTCAGTGTGTGCATCATGTCATGGTGCAATAAGGATGCAATTAAGATTGACATGCCACACACACACAAAAGTAACGTGTTCAAATTTGCAGCTCCCTCTGGACTTGGCTCCCAAGACTTTCTGGCCCCAGCTTTGATTGGGAAGAAGGAGGAGGAGGAGTTGGGTTTATACCCTGCCCTTCACTACCCAAGGGAGTCTCAGAGCGGCTTACAATTGCCTTCCCTTCCTCCCCCCACAACAGACACCCTGTGAGGTAGGTGGGGCTGAGAGAGCTCTGAGAGAACTGTGACTGACCCAAGGTCACCCAGCTGGCTCCATGTGGTGGTGGAAAGTGCCATCAAGTTGCAACCAACTTATGGTGACCCTTAAAGGGGTTTTAAGGCAACAGATGAACAAAGGTAGTTTGCCATTGCAAAGCAGCCCTGGACTTCCTTAGTGG